TCGCTAGAAAACTTTTTAATAAATCTAAAATCAATATTAACAAGTCCACTGCCGCGGTAATGGTATTGTAATACGAGTAGTATATTAAAAATGGAATTGTGTAGAGGAGATGGTATTAAAAAATATAATAGAAGGAACAACCATATAATTGGCGTATGGATTCATACGTGAAGGTTTATTAGGACAGTAACGATGATTGCATTACATTCTCGTAACTTATGTGTGAGACGATCGGGCAAGAGCCTCAAAACAGAATAAGAAAATACATCCGCTGCGTTCAGCGAATATCGAAGTCGGTGCTCCGATCAACGAACTGTTGCCCTTTGTTCCGGAACACGACTGCGATGCTTTCGGATAGTTTTAACCGCAGGACAAAGTTTGGAGCGCCCCAGGCGCAACTCGGATAACTCGACTCGTAGGTCCCAGTATAATAGGCGGTATGAAGGGATAAAAGTCACATTTCTAGGATTCAGGAACGCACGCTGCCAGGCCGTCTCTGAACTTGTCGCCTGATCACGAAGCAGTGTATCGCTATTTCCGATGATTAGTTCTTTTTAAGCTTAAATTAACAGTAAGAAAGAGATATACAATGCTGTCCATAGATTTGTGAATATAAAACTAGCAAAGAATTTGTTCTTTCAAGTTCTTTTGAAGGCAGCATTGCATGCGTGTGAAATTTTTCTGTAGCTTTTTGCTTTTGTGATATATTGATGTAGAAAAAGGAAAAACAAACAATATCTCTCTTTTATTGATAATCTTTTTTTCATTCAAGTTTATTCATGTTCCCAAATTTGTATATGTGTGTGTTGTATGTATGGACAGTAGTATATCTCATAACAAATTGTCGCAGTTCTATCATTATAATCTATATGTATGTGTTACAATAAATTAACTCCCAATCGATCAATTGATTGTAAGTACCGGTCATGAAATTAATATTAATTTATACGTATCATAAAATTAATTTATGTGCATATGTTACAATAAATTAATTCCCAATCGATCAATTGATCGTAAGTACCGGTCAAAATTAGTGTCATTTCAATGAGGTATCGTAGTTAAGTGGTAACAGTTTATATTTTTTTTCAATTGTCAAAGCTGTGACGTACAATTTTTCACTGTTTTTTTCGGTTCGTGAATCACTAGTATAGGATGAGACAGTATGGCTATGTATAGTGACAGCAGTTGAAACGGATCGAATGTAACAATATTTACATGGTGATAGTTACATATAAGCATTTTATAGTGCCAATTAGGTATTCAACTTACTAATAGTGTTGCCCTTTTCTTTTCTCTTATTTTACCATGGGAATAACAGAAAACAAAGTGATTTCTAGTCACACATCTCACACACGCACAATTCCTTTTATTTTTCGCACACTCGTACAAGTCGTGTCATATGAGCACATACTCTTTTTTGCAAAAATCAACTAGAAATTCAGAAGAATTTTACCAACATATTATAAATCTATTTAAAAAATACTCACAATAGAGTCTAACGTACACAATGACAGTATTGCTACCTAGTTATGTATCTATAGATACACAATTTGATATCGAGTTCGTAGAAGTTTATTTTATTTCTCACTTGTATTATCTTCCATTGCTGATTTTCCACAGGAGCACGTACTCGGTCGCTCGAAATCGAGCTTTGCGCTTTTCGATATCCGATTTCCGTGTAAATGCAGTCAGTTATACTGACGTATGCCCACTGTGTGGAGAACTGTCGGAAAACGACACTATCTGGTTGTCATAATCGCTGTAATAAGCTCGAGGAAATATGTCGGGCCTATGACTTCCTTAATTTGTTTTGAAATCATTTTCCGAGAAAGCGGAGAAGCTTTAAGTTATGTTGACATAAACTCGAGTGCACTCGGCCGAATTTATATTGAGCTAGATTTCCTCGTTTCTCCAATTGTACAATTTTCACATAAATAATCCTATAACAAATTGTATTCGGCCAAGCGCTATTCTCATCGTATTTGCAGATATATTCCAATATAATTGAATAGTATTAACATTAACAATTTTCAACTCGAATTATAATATAGATATTATAATATAGATTTGGTTCAAGATGTATCGTGCAGCAAATTGACATATATATTTGTTAATATTGCATTGTCTTCAGTCTGTGCTTCAATAATCTCTCTAATCGATTTTATAATATAAAAATTCAAGCCTTTTATCGTTTCACCGTTTTTCTTATACCGATTGGTGAATCTCTGGAATGAACCTTTGCTTTACGAAAATTTAATCATCGCATTGGATAAATGATATTTATAGGTTTATTCATCATTAAAATTTAATAGGGTTGACTATAATAATTGCGTTTTTTAATTTTTTATTTTGTTCGAGTAATTTATTTTAATACGGATTTAATAGCTTAATTGCCAATATGATAAAACATGATATAGATTCTCAATGAATAAAGGACGCCCATTAATTTCTTGCTCGGTGAAAATAATGAAAAATTGCTTTCTAATTTGTCAAAGAATCAGTTAAAGATCTTGCTTTAACATGAAAAACAATAATAGCGGACATTTCGTGTATTTGCAGGAAAATTGTATCGTAAAATATTAAATTTCAAGGCAATAGAAAATTTAACTCCCGATTTATTATCTAATACACACATTGCAATCGATGATGATTCAATAAAAATGAGACTGAAATATACATTTATTATATTTTTCTTTCGTTTGTGTAATTTTAGCAAGTTGATGAGAAAATTGCTTCGTGCTAAACGCAATCGATTTTCCGCAACATCATCAAATGCAGATTGAAAGGAATTAGTAGATGCTAATGTTTCTGTGATATTGAATTATGCAATATCGATGCAACCCGCAAGCTCAAAAAATGTTCCCAAAACGTTTCCCATTAGTCATTAGTAGCCCGTAAATTCGGTCGATCACGTATTGCTCATTATTAAAACATTCATCGCTGAAATCGTCCAACTGAACGTACATTTTTAAGATTTGCATGTTAATCACTCTCACATATTTCATTAAACGTGTCGATTACGTATTCTCATTGAATTCGAAATCCGAAATTTCGAATTATTCCGCAATTTTCCTGTTCAACGCTCGTTCGTTTCAAACAGGATGGCGATAAAGACTTATTATTAACTATACGCTTTCTCTAAAATCCCATGATGTGATCGGCGGATAATAGCACCTTGAGGATCTAATTATCGCATACGAATGTCGAAATACGCTTTCGCGTATGATCAGACTTGCTTTTGTCTCTAATAAACTAAGAAAGAACGGGAACATCACAGTCGTATAGAGGATGTAGTATTACGTCCGTCTGTGGAGTATCTGCGAAGGCGAATTGTTTCCTACGGTATGACTTTCGAGCGATACTCGGGATAGACGTTTATGATGACTTATGAGATTTGTTCCGCGCGAGAGGAGAAAAACATTACCCATTGAAACCAGGTTTAAATGGCCGTATGGGTAAGGTGAGCTTCCTCTAAGAGCATGCACTTGTTCTAAACTTCCTCAGTTGAAAAAAAATGTCGAGAATTGAAGTACTTGGCATCTACAGACTCGTTCAACTTTTAACTTTGAAGCTGAATACAACGATAAAGGGTAACGCGAGCTCTTGAAAACTCGAAACCGAAACAATAAACTGTAGAATTTTAGCGAAGAGCCACTACTCATCAATTGAAAAATAAGAATCTTTCTCAGAAGAATTAGCTGTCGACTATAACTTACCTCACGTAGGCTATTAGCGGCAATTCAACCATGCAGCCAATTAATCCTACTTCTCGACTTGCGTTAACAGGACTGTAACGCGATACAGTCGCACAAACCTTTTCCTCCGCACGCTGTTTAGACGTAAAAATACTCTATTGCCAATGTGCTCTCTTCTCGGGATAGTCGACGTGACGCGAACAAAGGAGACAGCATGAGGAAGGATACGAGGATAAATTCAAGACGTCGTGCGCGTCTCGGGGGATGATAGACCTCGGTAACGCACTCCCTCTCGACGAATTCATCAACGAGGAGTCGCCGCCACTTTCTTCAATGAGCTGAGCTATTGGTGATTTTGGATGGCTCTCGATCTCGAAGTTGCGGTTCGTTGTTAATTGAGCCAGGGAGGTCGGCGGGCCCGAATGTGGCCGCCACGACCGCTTCTTTAATGCGAGATTCGATTGTCGACGAGAAGACGACAGCTCGCGAACAGCAGCAGCAACAGCAATAACTGCAGTGGTGTCGGAGCGGTTCCTTTAACGAAAAAGACAAAAAAATGTCACGATTATTTGGACTCGAGCGCTCGATCATTTTACAGATCAACTTTTCTTTTCGCAGTTGACCTGCAACGAGTCGCGCGTGTTATCGATCCGCGCCTGGTGGCCTGCATACGGACCACGCGCGTGATAACACATGTTAACGATGGCATAAATAGTAATATACATATCGCTAGTTTTGCTCGTATTTGCTCCATGTGGATTTTTTTATTGTCACGTGCATACGGAGTGGAAA